AGAACTCATTGTCGGATCATCCAAGACATCCTGTGGTGACAGGGTCATTGCCTGAAGGGTAGTCTAATACGATTCAGAATATATGTCATTCCATGGTTTCTCTGACTTACCAGTACGCTCAGAATGGCCTGCTCCCCTTCTTGCCACTCGGGTTCAACTGCAGAAGACAGTATAAGACGAGGATAATGCATCTCGAAAGCTCTGGCACATAGCGATGCCCTGATACACGACGCACAAGCCGAAACAGTTGTGTCCAGAAGTAGTTTGATAATTTTCTGCAAGTTAATGAGTCTGCAAAGCCATCTATCGCAAATGCTGTAGACAGACCCTCGCCTCTGCAACATTTGCTTCGTTGCCTGTTTTGAAGATCCATGTGTAGAATGCCTCCGACATGCCAGAGACCCCTGCAAGTAATGAACGCCCACTGTCCCGCGTGAAGTGACTTCCTAGCGAAGAAACCGCTGAACTGACACCAGAAACCAAGGGTGAGACTATGCTCAGCGCAGTCCTCTTTCCAAGAGTTAATCTAGGCACAGCTGTGAGGCCCCAAGATGTGAGTGTTCGGTCGACACCTGTAATACACTTACATTTTGTAGACAACACGATAACGTTGATGAGACACTGGACAGAACCAGGAGCATGCTCCTCTTCAGCTTCATCTTCATAGGCTAGCTGGGTTAGCTGTTCCAGGGTTTCCTGGATGACAATCAACACCTCCTTCGGACTGCTGTTTTCGGAAATCAGGCTAATGAGGTCAACAGCCTCTTTACGGTGGCACCGAAGGAGATCAGGCAGGACGTCGAGAGGTTCCTACAGGGAGTCCATTAAGCTCTGAAATACGATAGAGGATGGAATAAGTTACTCACAAGAAGGGCTGGACCCTCATGATATTGAAGAATATTATCATACACAGTCTTGAGAGATGGCTGGTGTGTTTCATCATCAACTGCAACTGTTATTATGGCGGAGATGTCTCTGCCGATTGCCTTTGAATCGCCTCAGACAAAAATTCCAACTATAATGTGAGGTTAAATGCCTCATCGTCAAGGTCAGGCGACAGTTGTAGCGCCTTAAGCAAGGTATCCTTGGAGTTTAGAGTCATTGATGCACCAATTCATAAATAGCAGTTCGCAGTCGTGGTCGTGGCGGCTGCTGCCAGATTTGTGTTATGTAATCACAGTGGCGCTGGGAAGTAGTCAGCCAATGAAAATCGTTTATTGTTTAGTGCAGTCCCTGACTCCAGGAAATAATGATGGGTTGGAATTTGGCAGCAAACATTATATAGATGTATATCAAAATTATTCACCTCTGCTAGTGTATTCTGTTTTTGTTATTCAAGCTTGACAGAGTGCGAGATAATTCCTGTAACAGACATTCAGTAACAAGCACACTGAACTCATGCTAGTGAGTGAGAATCTGACAGGTAAACATCACCCAAAACGCTCACTCCAGCATGAAATAGGTATAGTGCATGCTGCCAAACATGATTTGCGAGCGCATGTCATATTTTTCAATGACAGAGCCTGTTCAATAGCTTGGCATAAATTGGTGAATACACGTCTGGACATCAGTTCAGTCCAGTTCTCTGACTGGCATCAATATCATTGTCGTCATATTGCTTGAAACGGTAAAGGAGGGCACCCTCTAGACTGTCCAATAATACATCACTAGATTCGTGTCAGTCAGGCGCAGCACTTCGTACAAAGAGATGGCTATGTCAACATTTAGACATGCACCATGGTGATGGAAGCGGAGCGTATGAGAAGCCGCCAAACCTAGAGGACAGAGCTGAAACGAGATTCGTCGAAGGTGGATACCTTCATCAGATGCAAAGTTCGCCAGTTAAGCAGATTCGGCGAGATCAGCGGTAGTATCCTGATAGATGTGGCACCATTTCAGCCCTTCAGTAGGTTGATAAAGAGATGATGCGTGATCCGGGTGGCCGTGCGAACGCAACCCAAGCGTGTCCCGGAATAGAGAGATGGTGAAACTATGTCTTGAAGATTCTTTCGAGCATACCCTTAAGCTCATGCGACATTGCTGAGAGCAGCTGCGTGGTCAGGGTGGCCGACTGGACACTGGTCTAGAATTAACTGAAGATCCTCTACAGCATCGCTTAGGTGCGAGACACCACTCTTACTCGTGTATTCGGGGTCTGCATCAGTACATCGAACAATCTTGTATTCAAAGGTTAACTGCACTTTGCGTGCTCCAAGAGCCCATACCACGGTTTAGGCATCACTCACATTAAGCACTGTATCGTCCTGCCCATAATCGTGCACAAAAGCGACGTTTAATGTGAGAGCGGGGCAGGTATCATCAATGGGTGGAAAGGTCAGCTCTACGGGAAGCTAGTGGAAATACATGAATAGGAAGCAGATCACTCACCAAATGGTTCATCTCCATGATCGAGCAGCCTATTCCATGATGTCTCAAGTATTCCAATAAGTTTCCTATGGCCTAGCATTCAACCGAGTTCAAAGGATGCTCCGATCTCCGGTGATGACGTGTGTGGTGATCTACAAATAAACGATGAGTACTGGAATCACGCCAGCGAGTCTCGGTAGAAGGTTTTACACGGTCAGAATATCACCATAGACGATGGACCTTCAAGTTGGATGGCTAGTGTCCAGCGCCTCCTTGAGTCGAGGTTAATGGCTACGTAAATGCCTGCGTGGATACGCTAAGAGGGCGCTTATGTATTTTGTCCGCTGACGGCTGTGGGTGAAGACCATGAGATAAAATTAGAATGAATACCAAAGTTGCATCACCTTTGAGTCTGATCAAGCAACACTCCAAGCTTCCGGGCATGGTGGTGCGACGTAGAGACGAGAGACAAACTAACTTGGAGGATGGGCAGAGAAATGGGCAGAATGAGTGGTCGGACAAGAATGGGTGTAAGGATATTGGCACCGTAGATCAAGCTCAAGTCTAAGCGGGTGCGCAGCAGGGCATGATGGTTCCAAGCTGTTGACGATATGGTTAGCAGTGAGCTGGTGCAAATCCCACCGAATACTAGTACATACATCTGACACGCTAAATGGGGAGAGACTCCATGGGGCACGGCTAATAAAGTGGGCCAACCTATTAATATCAGTGAAGTGGCCCACTATGGGCCAGGCTCGTATACGGTATGATAGTACAAGTGCATTGTGCAACATTGTCCTATAGGACCTATACAACGGCAAACCCGTAACTACCCCCTTCACCAGGCGTTCGACAGGTTTCATGTGCTCCAGGACGCCTACACTGTAACCAATCAAGCTTCATGTGGACGAGGGGCTACAACTCACCATTCGTGTAAATGGATGTCAAGGACATGTGTTTTGTTTGTGCGGCCTACAAATTCGTATATAGTAGCTTGAAGTTCGATTTCGTTTCTATCGCTCCAAAAATTACTGTCACTGATCAGGAATATCAAGCCAGTATCGGCTCATTTGATGATATCCATGCGTTGTCCCGATAGCTGCGTCGAATTCCTTCATACCCTAGTCAGGTTCCCTTGAAGTGGTATTGAGTTAACCTTAACCATTCGAAAAAAAGTTCGAGAGAAGGCTTTGAAAGTTTCGGGATTGCGATGTCCACACGCAGTAACACTCAGTGTTAATGATGATCGCTCGGTACCGAACAAAGCAGAATTCTTCAATGGTTAAGCTCAAGATCAACTTTGAACTTGGAGTCTGCTCAAGAGGGTCGGCAACTGCGGCCTGGAAATGTCAAGTACGTAATAAATTATCAATTGAAGTAATTAATTAAACTCTGCTGCCTCAAATCAGCCTACAAGAAACTAGAAGCCAGGCTGCCGCTGGGGGCTTACTTAGATGCTACTCTTCCACTTTCATGAATGATCTCATGAACAAGATTTACTAACACAGGTTGCTGGATAGTAGATTCCAGTTCAATATCAGTACTCGTAGTCATGCTAAAATGACACGCCGCCACCGTGACTGCAGGGTCACATTTTAACTAGCGAGTATCTTCCTTAAAAGCCATGGCAAAGTCTTAATGGTATAGATCATTTCGTCGATTTCAGCCAAGTTTCAGGGAAACCCGGATTTGGCGGTCATTGTATTAAGCACTTGCAGTATATCAGACGACGAAGACGGACCGACTTGATGGCGTTGGGCACGACGTAGGTGTGCTTCCAGCTTGCTATATCCTTTCTAGATGGTTCTTCACCTCGGAGGTTCGTAATCTTCGGACATCTTTTATGCAGTGCAAGTACACCCAACTCGGAATGACAGTCAACACAAAAACCAAGCCCAAAGATATCCCTCCGATTGGGGGGATTCAATGCCCCCGCTGAGGGGTCTACCGAGGGACATTCATGTTTCAATTTGTGAGTACTAATTACGAGTCACCGTATGGCTACTCCAGATACTTATATATGTGGCACCTTCTAACTTATTGCAGGCGATGACTACATATGTGCATCGAGGCTCTTAAGACAGGTATGGACATCACCGAACGTCAAGATCTTAATTCAAGTCTTGTATCATTATTAAGCATATTCGCAGTCATGGTCCTATGGAGGTGTGGCTGCGGCACTAGACAGTACCAATACTTGTCTATTCTATGTCTTCCATGCAGCTCAAACGTGGAGAGGGAAAAGCTAAATGTCGAGTCCCCTCGGGTTTTCTTGCAACACCGTGGGTCGGAGAGCTCGGAAGATTGAAATTTGCAGTACAGTTTCACAGACCTGTATGCCCAAGAGGAAAGCTCGATCGATCGACGGCCCAACCAACACAGGGGGCGGGTTCCGATCGCAATGTAGAATGTTCACCTATGTACATTCACCGTCGGCATCAACTAAAATTATTTTGCCGACAGGGTGGGGCTTCGGTGACTGCAATGAGATTCCGAAGTCAAAAGGTCTGTCTGCAGATATAAAATCTGGCAGTTCCGCCCGCTCTCCCTCAGTTCAAGTTGCCCATCAGCTCCTTGATCACCCACCGCCCCAAATCACCACCTAGTCAAAGTTCGCCTTTCAGTCTTGCACAATGTTTGTTCGTCTCTTGTCCATAGCGTCTCTCTGCTTTCTCGCAATTGCCAATCCCCTTGTTCGCCGCCAGGCAAGCAACCAGTGCGACACAGGCAACATTCAGTGTTGTAAAGAGACTCAGACAGTGGGTTTCATAGCGCTAAATATCCTTCGTAAATCATGCTTAAAATCCAACAATAGGTCGATGAGTACAATAAGAATGCGACGGCACATGGAACGATTCCCATTGACATGAACATCCTCGGTCGTGTCGGTCTTAGCTGCACCCCAATCTCCGTTATTGGCACTGGCGCTGGCGCGACCTGTTCCCAGGAGCCACTCTGCTGCAGCAACAATCAATATGTACGTATTCAGCCTTTATATTCCATTTCAGACTTCTTAAAGTTACCTTTCCAGTCCGGGCTCATTAACATCGGCTGCACGCCCATCAATATCAACGCCTGAGCTTTGAAGGTGGCGGAAGGTGGTTGCAATGTGGGAGAGGAGCTATGGACAGTCGTCAGTTTGTTACCGTTTTGTTCAGGCCTGCAGAGTTCCGTATTAGCAATGCGTCAATGTTTTTTGTGTTGAGTTAACTGATAGCCGCTGCTCTGTCAAATCGAAGGACTAGTCTCTTGTCATGCTTGTCTGATTGGGCTGCTGTCGAACAACCAACTAATCACGTCTTATACTGGAGTTAGAAAAAACTGAGGCCACGTCGTGTAATGGGAATTGTCCCTGAGTCATAACACATTCATTAAATTACGAAAAATCAAAACTCTACAGCCTCTTCGTTTTACAAGACGTAGACGATATTTCCTTGTTGCATCAAGACTACACAGCACTACAGCTGTTTTGATATTTGGCTCCTGACATGGTGTTTCTTGAACACCTTCCCGATTTGATTTCAGCATACCATCATTTCTAAAACATGAGACTCGCTTATTATGCAACTACATTCAATGGGTGCCAAGGTCTCACACTCTCCCGCACTATGGTTGATCACAACCGGACAGGAGGACAGCCCTATCTTACACATGATCCTTCACATTTGGATAATAGTATGATGCTCCCCTTCGATGAAGTCATGCAATTGACTATGTTAGTGTCGCCAATAATGGCAATAATCGGTGGTATCTCAGGTTACCCAAACTAATGGCGATGAGAAGGTGATTAAAGGGTTCAATGGGTAATTTACATGCGAGGGCGATGACCAAATACAGGGTAAGGAGTATAAGACCCTCCAGATAATTGGCAGTTCCATCCCTAAAACAAGTGAGTCAAGTCAACGAGAGGGAAGTTGCTATGTGGTGAAAGGCAAGCTGACATGAGCAATAGATAGACTAGAAAGACAGATGCAAAGAGGACGACTGTCTGAAGATTCGTTAGAAACTTAGGTAATACGCGTAATGTATTCTGAATAAACAGACCTCGAAGTTGTGGAAGTGCAACGTCAGGGGTTGGCCGACGCTAACAAAAAGGACAGTGAGAATAACATCTCGCGAGATGCAATACATGGTCGTACATCCAACCGACGATCACAAGAAGTGGAACTACGAGGCAGGCAATTTGCTGTCCGAGAGTGAGTACAATCATAATTTTATGATGAATGGTCTACACTTACAATCGAACTCCCAACGCAAATGGTGATGGTGAGCTCGTATTTATTCTTCATTGCCATCCAGACTGAAGTGACATGTTCTGTGGCATTTCCCTACAAACGATGTTGGTAGGCAGTTAGCCGGATACAACTTGAAACATACTACGATCGGCAACAAGATAACACCAATAAAGGCCTCCGGGATGGAATAGCGGACTGCAGTCGCCTCGATGGAGGCAACCACTGGCACAATTGAACAGTTGAACATGAAACCAAGGGAACAAAGTGGGACACATACGATACTCAGCACAAAATGCGGTAATGAAAGTGACCGATAAAAGTCTAACGAACGAGGGTAGGGATTTAATGTAATAAATGACGAAACCAAACTTACGCAACACCGGCAGCGGCTGTTCCCATGCGAGGTTCCGTTTCCTCCGTTTCTGCCAATGCTACCGTTACCTCACTGTTTTGTTCAGCCGTAGGTGAAGAAGGTGCGATGAAGGGAAAGGGATGGGTTTTTAACTGAACCCTTGGATGAGCACATTGAAGAAATAAGATATTAGAACATGCCTGAAACCAAAGGTAGGCACAGTAAACCCCTAGGAGCAATATGGCAGTTCCTCTGGAGATAAAGAGAAGACCCGCAGTGGGACATTCATCGAGATCACTGCAACGATTCTGCATTCCAGCGTCTGTAGTACTTGTATATGCCGCAAGAACAACAAGCGCTATGAAATATTAGCGAAACTCTCAAGTTGGAGAAGATATTCGTACTGATGCATAACAGAGTCATAAGCTAGACTTGGTTAATTGTCGTTGTAATGAATAAGTTGGATAATTTACAGAGGTAGGTCTGAAAAAATATTGCAATTCAACCAAGGATTTAAAGGGTAGAAATACAGAGGACGCACATCTGAGCTCCAGTACCATTGAAAAATCCTTGTGTATGATATAATCCACCTATACCGGGTGAGCCCGTACTCTCCTTCAAAAGCAGATGTCCCTTACCGGCGAGAAACGAACAACCAAGGACGAGCAATATGTTTGACAAGATCGATCCAATCATCTGACCCAAGGACATTCTATCGCAAATAGTGACTATAAGAAGACACTCACAGACATCTGAACAATCCGCAATTGACCTAGGATTATCGTGAGTACTTGCGGACAACTTCAGAGCAGTGGACAAACCGTTGAGTAAAGCAGCAACACCAACGACAATTTCCAAGGCATTCCCAAAGGATGCATTAAGGAGACCTGAGATTATTTCTCCTAATTTGACAGATAACTGATCTGTTGCCTCGCCCAACAGCTAAAAAAGACAATGTCAGTCTTCCAAGAGTCTAATGATAGGAGTGGTTGCCACCTTAGCCAAGGGCACGATGGCCATAGAGCTAAACAAAAACACAAGGCCAACGTCCCAGTCCAAGTTGTGTGAGATGAAGCTTAAAGGTACAAATACGAGTAGGATATTGAACCATGTCCCAAAAATAAAGAACTTGAACGATTCTGTCCATGATGGCTCGCCCTCGCCTTTCATGAAGTTGACAACACGAGAAAAGGGGAGGTTCCTATGACCCATATGGCCACCATTTTCGAGTAGCGGTGCAGATTCTGAACAAGACATGGATAATTCGGGGATGTGTTGGACGGCGCGAATTTCGAATGTTCTGCAAAATTTAACACCAACTGCGACCACAACGTCCACCTGATCGTGCGATGAACAGAGGCTAGTGGATTTGCATCCACGTCCCCATGGATTCGGTGACGTGTCACATTGTTCTGTGTATGTAGAAGCTTCGGGCGATCTATCTGGCTGTCGTTGCCTGGGGACAATATTTATAATCAGCTAGTTCATAGTTAATAGCATCCCGCCTACCTTCGGACCCAGGCGTACACTGGCTGGAGATGCTCGAGGCCGATATCTTCTTTCTGTGGCGTGATTTTCACAGGTGATTGTTAAAGAAGTTTTTCCAGGCCAAAGCAAAGGCAATTATCCGCATGTCAGGCGAAATACCCGGCGTAATGGCGCGACCTTGTTCTTTGAAAGTGGCCCTTTGCTTTTGCAGCAGCAATCACCTTTGCATGATCGAACTTGAACTGCTAGCGCTCTGCACCACATTTTGCAATGACCTCTTCGAATGTGAGTCCTGCACATTGAGATGTTCGGAGCAGCACAAGAGAACAACGAACCTTTGCCCTTCATTATTATCTACTTGTCTAGCCAACTAACCGGGATGACTGCTGGAAAGGTCTCCGTTTCAAAAGAACCAACGGTGCTATGAGAGGGTAGCATCACCGGAGTTTGAGACCCAAGCTGAGCGGGTAAGAGGGTTGAATGACGTGGTGCAGTCGAGTTGAATGGACGGGTCAGGGAGAGTCCGAGGAGTGTGATGTTGACTCTAAAAAGAAGATGGTGAGCCTATATTCCGGCAGTTTCTGCACGCCGCGACGAAGGCTCAAAAGACGCACTGTTTGAACAAGAAGTTGGATTTATGAGCGACATCACGGTGACGGGTTATTTGCGTCGAACTCAGAATCCAAGGCTTCCTCAGCTTCAGGCTTGACTGCAACATAGATCACGCTCATTTTCTGTCGAGTTGGTCCTCTCAGGTCTTGACGAAGCTTGATCATTATACTGGGTTGATGGTTGGCGTAAACGACCTTCATCATGATCTCGTGCTCGCGGACGCAACTATCGAATATTCCTCTTGCTCTCATCGTCTTTCTAGCTTTCGAAGATAGCAGTGTCTGATGTTTAGCTGTTATCATACTTCCGATTACAGGTATCATTGAGATAAGGTGAACGAGCACCTCAAGGTGAGGAGTTCGTCGTCGATAATGTTGTTCCCGGGAGAAAGATCTCGAATTCGGTCCTGAATTTAGTAATTACCTAAAAAGCCCTTCGGGTCCAGTGCGACTTACTGAATTGCGGGAAACCTGCAGGCTTTGGACAACTTTTGGTTGATGGCTCGTTGAATCAAAACATCGTTGCCCAACAATCAGGGCGCTTACTAGCGAGAAGGTAAGCGCTCATCACAGCATTTTCAAGCACAGACTTCATGTGTCTGTACGATATGCCGCAGCCGCAGCGGAGAACGTTACTAGGACCATTGACAGCTATTTTAGTTTCACAATGCCCCGATTGTCCATTGTCAGTACTGAAAGCTACCAATATGTCCTTAACTGCACAAGAGAGAACCGCTCTGAAATCTTTGCCCAAGCGTATCCAGGTAAATCCAATTTTTGAATCTCCTGTATCACTCCAGACGATGTCAATTGGCTCTTTCCAGCGCTCAACAGACGGAGCCCTTGAAGGCGTGGTGCATGATCTCCGCAAACTCCACCATTGGGTCGATAATTCCACCGATGTTGAGGCGAACATGGCATTGCTCCCTATCTTTTACACCCATCTGGATCCAGCTGTGATCCCCGATCAACCTCTACCGACTGATGATGCCCAAGTCCTCATTTTGGCCAAATTGTCATTGATGAGTATCGTACAAACATGTGCTAGCTTGCGTGGAGTTCTCAACGAAAGTCTTGCGGACAAGATGATTACGGATGCACTAGTGCGACGTTGGGATACTCTCTTTCCATGGCTGCAGTTCATGTATCGGCATTTTCTACCTTTCCCGCCCCGGAGGGACCCTCCAAAAGGTTTCGACATCTGCGATGTAGATGCAATCTCCATTGCAACTCGTGCCCTCTCGCAGATATCAGTCTCCGCCGCAGGACAGCACCTGATCCAGACAAACATAGCTGTTCAACAGTTCATTGCGAAGCTATGGCTTTATATCGGGAAATTGAAGGATGAGGATTTGCTCCGGCATGACGCATCTTTTCGGCATGCTGGGAAGGA